AGAGAGAGAGAGAGAGAGAGAGAGAGAGAGAGAGAGAGAGAGAGAGAAAGGAAATCTTAAGGAATTGGCTCACATGCTCACATGATTGTGGAGACTGGCAAGTCCAAAATCTGCAGAGGAGCCCAGCAGCCTGGAGACCCAGGGAAGGGTTGATGCTGTCGTTTTCTTCCTCTGGGGACCTCAGCCTTTTCTCTCTTAAGGCCTCATTTGACTGGATGACGTGCACCCACATTATAGAGGGTCATCTGTTTTATTCAAAGTCTACTGATTTAAATGTTAATCTCATCTAAAAAAAATACCTTCACAGCAATGTCTAGACTAAGTTTGACCACACGTCGGGGCACCATGGCCAAGCCAAGTTGACACATGAAATTAACCATCACCTCCAGGATCTATGGTAGTTTCCCTTCACGCTCACCTAGTGTCTCTGCTGGTCTAGATGGCTTACCTGTGGGTGATCCAACCCTGATACCCGAAGGGTCTGAGTCCTTAGTTACCTCTTTGCCCTGCTTTTCTTAAGTGTGGCTTCTGGTCTTGTCCATTCACCATTAAACCATTAAAATTAGTCACAGTGCACCAAGAGCGGCTCCAAGTGACTGTGGATGCCAGATATATTCTTCCTTAAGCCCATTGTATAGCAACAGCTCATGATTGAGCCATACTCGGAAACCTACTAATCTACCCGACAATTTCATTGGATACACAATAGGCATCTCAAACCCAGCCTTCAAAACTGACCACCTGATCTTCGCAGCCCTGTAAACTTTCTCCACCCCCGTCTTCCCACCTCAATAAATGCAACTCCATCCTTCCAATTGCTTAAGCACAAATATTAGAGAGATAATAGACTCCTCTATTTCTATTAAATTTCACAGGCAGCACATCAGCAAGCCCTGCCAGTTTTAACTTCAAAGTACATACAAAGTCATACCTTTATCACTAATTTCATTATTCCTGCTATAAGAAAAACCTCCTGTCTGGTATCCCCGATTCCAACCTTGTCACCTTACCCCACCCCGTAACCACCATTCACATGCTCTTCCCCACTCAGTAGACAGAATGATCCTATTAAAACATAAATCACCTTATGTAATGTAAATACTTTGCTCAAAACTCTTAAATGGCTTCCGAAAGCAGTCAGAGAAAAAGCCAAAATTCTTCAAATGCCTACAGAATCTTACATATTCTACTCTCCACCCACCTCCTGCCTCTCTACCTCCTGCATTTTTTCCCAGTCACTCCACTGAAGACCCTCTGGCCCCTCTGCTTTTCCTTGAACAAGACACCCCATCCCAGCCTCATGGTTGGCGCACAGGCTCCTCCCTATGTCTGGATGGACCACACGTAATTCAGGTGGACACAAGATTTTCTCCCTCACTCCCATCAGGTACCTGCTCAAGTATTATCTTAACCATTCAACATTCCCTGTCTACCCTGTGTAACATAAGAAAAACTTCCAGACCCCAATATCTCTATCCCTCCTACTTTATTTCACTTTTCCCCCATTACATTTATCATCACTTGACATTAGATATTACCTTGCTTATTTCCTGTCATCCCCCAATAGGATGTAAGATCATTGAGGACAAGTATGTGTTGTATAATTTCCTGCAATGTTCAGCACCTAGAACAGTTCCTGGTACATAATAAATGCTCAGTCAATATTTCTTTGAATGAATGCTTCCTGGTTGCTTTTCATACGTTATCTCTGTTAGCCTTTGTATTTAATCTGCAATAGCCATGTGAGTTATTGGAAAGTATTATCTCATCTAATCCTCAGAAGAATTCATTGAGATGATACCATTTTTCACCAGATTTTACAGATGAAATTGAGGTTTGCAGTGGTTGCGTAACTTGGCTGAAGTCACACAACTAGCAAATGTCTGCCATGAAAAGAAAAGCCAATTTGGCCTATTCTGAAGCACTGCAGCCCCCCATAGTGGGAGGGCCAGGTGAGAACTCCCGGACAGGTTGACCAGAAGTTGGAAGAAGCACCTGTCTTTGGATTAGAAGGATACAAGGGTACATTTTAAGGAATAAGAGGAGAAAACTCAGCTTCCAACAGAGGGAGGTGACCCCATCCAAAAGAGAACAAGCTCCCAGGCAGAAAGATAACACATGTTCCAGCACATCATTAAGGGAAAAGTGCCCTAGGCAGCTGAGGAGGTGAATTGAGAGGAAGGAGCAGGGAACCAGAGGGTGACGCTGCCTGAGGCTCTGGCCCTCCCACTTCCTGGTTGTGTGACCTTCGCAAGTTACTCAACCTTATTTATCTTAGTTTCCACGTGTGTAAAAGAGCATCTGGTGCTTACTTTGCATGACTACTATGAGAATTCTAGATAATGAATATCAATTACTTGGTACAAGGAAACCCTCCAAAAACTAGACCATTTAGTGTCATTCTGCCCACGTCATACATTTTCTGGCTTCTTGAACTCAAGCAAAACTAGCTCAGATGTGGCCTCTTTTGATGCCAGCAGGCAAAGGTGGGGGACACAGGCCCCACAGGTGTCCCGTGGGTGTTGACTTCACTGGTTGCAACCCTGTGACCGTAAGCCAAGGTGCCAGGGCCTCTAGAACAGAAACCAGGTGGCTTTGCCCTGCTCTGTGACCACAGGCTGCAGAACCAGCTGCGAAGCAGCAACACGTTGGAGGCAAGCGTGAGGATGGCTCAGTGCAAGCCCAGACCCCGCCAGCAAACTCCTCAACGTGGCTGTCTGATCACTGGCAAGTCCATGTGCTGGGCTCTCCCATGAACACGGGGCAGGTGGTCCCCCCAGAGCCAGCGCTGAACCTGGATATCCTGTACCTTGTGTGAGGGTGGCAGAAATAAGTCACACATCACTGCACCCTCAGTGAGGAGAAGGGAGCAAACAGATCAGTGAGTTATCGTGTTCCAGAAACTCCGCCTAAATCTGCATGGGATGCAGAGAGCCCTTAAAGGAGAAGTGATCAGCGCTCCGTGGGGCACGAGGCCAACCTCACAGGAAGGTGCACAAGGGTAGGAGAGCACCCACAGCAAAGGCACCCAGGTGGGAGGTGTGCAGAGCTGGGGGGAGACGCTTGGTGCCTACGGCCAACTTCTCCCCCAGACGGTCCACAGTGCCCTCAGACTCAGCGTCCCAGCCTTGACACAATTCTCATCCTGTTTTCTATGCCT